TAATTTTTTTTATCTAAAAAATTCCAAATAATAAAAGTTTAAGATAATCAAAATTTTAGGATTAAAAGATTCAATATTTTTCAAAATCAGTCTTTACTTTTTCTGCATGGCCTTCGGGCCCGTTTTAAAATGGTTCGCATGATGGTCATAACCCAGTCATATTTAATAGGACTTCCACGCTTAGGAATGTGGTAAATAACTGCATCATACTTGCATGTCCCGAGGAGTAGCCCCCGTGCTTCTCCAATCCGACTAATTCAGCATAAATTTGCCTATGTAAGGTTGTCTAGCATGTGTAGGGTGTTAGGAGGCTTCCTGATCCAGACGGGATATAAGTCCTCTTGTTGGAGGTTTTACAGCTTTGTAGCTGAACATCCGCTTTATCTTCCTTTCTGAGGCATCCTCGCCACTTTGGCAGGTATAAGTCTCACCTCTTGGAGCTCCAACTTTTAACTGTAGGATAGAGTTTCGTTCCTTGGACCTTAGGGCTACCGAGATTCCTGTGGACGACACAATTCACGGATTGCTGACCAGAGATCTCAGGTTGTGTTGGGTCGACTACCTTCACGACCAGATAGACTTAGGGTCCTGGTGGCTTGGGATGACGGGTCTGTGGTACCCCGACCTGGCTACCTCTACCTCTTAAGACTACTCTTCCCTACCTTTTTTACTATCCCTGTTGAGCCACTTCTACTCCTTTGACTTTGTTGATGGCACTTTGCCGACCCGAAGTCGATAAGCTACCGCCCGTTCGGGATACAACAATTTGTCCTTTGCCTTTACGGTCCAGATGTGCTATGAAGTACTGGGATACCCCCGTTGAAGTGATATATGGTTATTTCGTAGGTTTTGTGAGTTGAGAAGCCTCTACCCATTTGGATGTAGGAGATTCACTCTCTGCTCGATGTCGCAGCGTGAGCTTCAAAGCATCGAGACCGTTCCAGGTTCATGAGGATAAAGCGAAACTCCTTCCATTGAGAGTTTTTTTGGGTATCCCCCGCGATGTAATTAACCAGTAGGAATACGTTCCTCTGGGAGACTTTTTGACCCCATAACAAAGATGTTCTTTTTTTGGTTCTATGGTTACAGGTGGCTTATATAGAGATTCTGCTCGTGGATGTTGTTTTTGAGGTACTTCAATCTGATTCTGTTTGGGCTGGTTACAGGTGGCTTATATAAAGATTCTGCTCGTGGATGTTGTTTTTGAGGTACTTCAATCTGATTCTGTTTGGACGTATACTCTCGAACCATCACACGAGGATTATCCCTATATAAGCCTTCCGTCTCTTCTCTTTTTAATTTGTTTGCCTATTTTTTGTCGTACGTCAGTCATCTTCAAGTCATTCATTTGGTTCAGGAGGGAGACTTACTCGAATAGAGAAACTATACGACGACATACAAAAAGACAAATTGGAGACTCTGAGACCTAAAAAGAACTGAGTAAAATAGGAACTTGGTTGTCTTTATTAGGATTTCACATGTGACACCAACCAACAATGACTATAGAGGTCATCCAAAAGTACTTCAAAAACCTCAGCATAAAAAAAAAAGGGAACTTGGTTGTCTTTATCAGTATTTCACATGTGACACCAACTAAGAGTGACTACTAAGCCATCTATAATAACTCACAAGGCAGAACATCTTATCATGAACCTCACAAACCCACAAAAAAAAATACGAAAAGGAATCGAAAAAGGAGAAAAAAAATTCAAACAGCACAACCACACACACACAAAACTACCAAAAGTCACACACTCAAGACCAACCATATACAACCACCTTGAATAACCAACAAACACATAGTCACCACCAAAACAACAACTCACCCAAGGCCAACCATATACAATACACTCACAACTACCACCAAAACAGCCAGCCACCAAGCACAACACCCACAACCACCACCCCCAACCACACACACACACCCAAGACCAACCATATACAACTACCAAATACAACCAACACCCACAACCTATTGACTTGAGCAATACATCAAACAAACAACACCATTGGTGCCAGAAAATTCTTGTTCATGATGGCGCACACACGCAACCACCACCTAAACAAACAACCACCATATACAACTAACAAAACAACATCTCACACACAACCACCACCAAAACAGCCACCACACCTAAGGTCAATTATCTACTTCACATGCACAACCACCAAGCATAGCACCCGCAGCCACCGCCCCTCACCACACACACACAAAACAATCAGAACTCACACACCCAAGTTCAACCATATAAAGCCACCATGAATAACCAACAAAACAGACAACACACACAACCACCACCAAAACAGCCACCACACCCAAGACCAATCATATACAACGCACTCACAGCCATGGCTAAAATAGGCTGCCACCAAGCACAACACCCTCAACTATCATATACAACCAACAAACGGACACCACACACATAATCACAACCAAAACAACCACCACACCCAAGGTTAATTATATACTGCACACTGACACTCACCAAGCATAACACCCACAACCACCACCCCCCACCACATTTACACATAAAACAACCAAAACTCACACACTTAAGGCCAACCTTATACATCCACCATGAAAAACCAACAAAACGGATATCACAAATGCAACCACCGCATCCAAGGCCAACCATATACAATACACTCACAACCACCACCAAAACAGAGAGCAACTAAGCATAGCACCCACAACCACCACCCCCACCACACACATACACTAAGGCCAACCTTATACATCCACCATGAAAAACTAACAAAACGGATATCACAAATGCAACCACCACATCCAAAGCCAACCATATACAATACACTCACAACCACCACCAAAACAGAGAGCAACTAAGCATAGCACCCACAACCACCACCCCCACCACACACATACACCACAACCAACGTGTGCGCGCGCACACCCCCACCCAACGTGTGCCCGCGCCCACACACACACACACACACACACACACACACACACACACAACCAATCGCAAAGTAGAATTCTGCAAAGCCTCATTCACCCCAATTCAATTCCATATCCAAAAAAAAAAAAAATCTCGCAAAGAAAGCCACTAAATCAAAAATAGGAGAGGCCTAATCAAAAAATTGACTTCATTTGAATCAACTTAAGGAATGAGCTTTATTACATTTTCTAAATTTTTTTTAATTAAAAGAGCAACTCATGGCTCCTTACGTACTAATAAAGAAAAGGAATACAAGATTTGGGAGGGATAGTGGATCCCCATCTAAAAAAAAATACATCATATTTCTAAAGCTTCCGCAATCCACAGTACAACTCCACACAAAATAAAGCAAAAATAAATGTAAAACCACAAAAATGTATACTAAAAGAAAATGTATACCAAAAAATTGCATGTATATCAAAACCCATGTCGACTGTAGTAGAGGAAAGTAAAGTTGAAGAGAGAGCATCAAAAAGCTCAGACCAATCGTACAAATAGTAAGGAATTTCGTTGTCGAGACCAAGTGAGGCTGCAACATGCAATACTCGTCAAAAGGAAAGAAATGGTTATAAGTCAGCATAATAATCTTGTGGCAACAGAGCTTAGTCTCCCTTAACCCAGAAAAATAGTGTAAGAAAAAAGGAGAGTGTGTCCATATACTTGAAGCCCACATTATC